CTCCTCCTCCTCCTCCTCCTCATCCTCCTCCTCCTCGTCCTCCTCCTCGTCCTCCTCGTCCTCCTCCTCCTCCTACTCTTTCTCCTCCTGTGTCGAGGTGGACCTGGACGGATCCTTACAGATCCTCGACCCCTCAAGCGCTGGGCGCGAGATCGGCGGCTGCAGGGCGGGCGTTTCGTTGCCGCCCAGCTCGTGGGCGAGGCACATCTCCGCACCCACGGCCTCTTGGGCCGGGCCCCTGGGCCACGACTCATCGACAATGAATCACCTCCCTAGCCTTAATATCACTCCTCCTCCTCCTCCTCCTCCCTGTTCTCCTCCTGCTCCTTCTCCTCCTTCTCGTTCTCTTCCTGCTCCTCCTCCTCCTCCTCCCCTCCTCCCCCTCCTCCTCCTCCTCCTCCTCGAATACCGGGTTAATTTTCGGCGCCGGTAAAATTCTCCTCCTCCTCCTCATCATCATCATCATCATCATCATCATCATCCACCTCCTCCTCCTCCTCCTCCTCAAGACGTGGCCTCACCGAGGTTCCCTTCTTCGCATCAGGGATAGTCGTGATCGTGGGCGGTCTGGCTCGGTGCATCTGTAGAAGAGACCTCCGATCCCTGATGTCTTTGGCCCTCCCATCTCAGGCCCCCTCCCTGGTGGTAGGGTCCTTTGATTGGTAATCACCTGTGGTGGTTTTTGGAGGCGGCTGGGCCGTGTTTCTGTCGCTTCCAGAAATCGGGATCTTGAGAGTGAAGATGGAAACAATGAAGGCTATAGCCAAAATGAAACATACGTTCTGGCGTTGAAGCCGAGCCAGAAACGGAAAAACAACGGCGTCGGAACCAGAAACAAAATGTCGCCAGAACCGGACACAAAACACAGCAAGAACGACAATTTAACAAACACAGCGTTGTCTTTAGCAAGAGCCACTAAGTCCTGACCCCCTCCCAGACATGCTCGCGCCGTGATAAAAATGGCACGTGGCGTTTTTTTTTTTTTTCGGCCTCGGGGGACCCTCGTCGGTTCTCAGGTCTTTCAGACAACAATTGCGGATGAAGCAAGGGCCTTGGGAAAGGCAGGGAGGGAACTTTCAGGGACCCCGTATAGAACAATTCAAGGCATTGCGTGTTCAGGTTACCCAGGGTAGTTTGTCTCTACGCAGAAAAATGACATAGACATATACATTCGAGCTCCGCGCGGATTTAATAGATGTGCGCTGGGCCCCCCCCTGCGGCGCCTCCGGCACCGCCCCTGGGGGGTCCAGTGCCAAGAAATCCGCGCGGACAGTCGACAGTTGATGTTATGCTGTTTGTTCTTCCTCACATCAGGCATACAACCTTTCCTTGGCTTATTGTTGTTGTGCTGGAAAACATGGGTCCAGTTTTCATGGTGCGGACCCGATGACGGCCCCCAGAGGCCGAAATCGAGGAAAAACGCACGGATTGAACAAGAACATCGTTGGAGATTTTGGACGTGCGGCCCCGGGTGCGCAGGAGCTGTACGGGGTAGAGCCGGACCTCGTCGTCCTCGGCAAGTCCATAGGGGGCGGCCACGCGACTGGCATCGTGTGCGGGCCCACCCGGCTGATGGAGCGCGGGCGGCCGGGCGTATCGGGGGCCTGCGGGGGGGAAGTGTAGATAGCAGATGTAGAGAGATACCTTGACCAAGGTTAGCCAGAGGGGGTTGGCCCGGCGGGTTGGCCGTATTCTATAGTTGGCCGAGGGGGTTGGGGCAGGCGTATCGTGGCAGGGGAAGTTTTCACCCTTTCGTTCCTCACTCTCTGTGTGTCTGTGGGGATGGGAGGCTTGGGCGTGGCAGTTTCGGGATCTCACGGAGGCAGTTCTATCGACGACGCCCAAGCTGCAGTGACAGATCCAGGTGCGCAGGAGTCACACATGTTGCACTTGTCGAAATCACGCTGGCCTCGAGCTAGCCAGCCTTCAACATCAGGGCCGAGCCTCCACGCACCAGCTGTTACATCTACCTTCCTTTTGTTCCCTCCCCCTCTCCCCCTTTCTCCCCTCCTTGCCCCCGCCTCCGTCATCTTTGAAAAGCGTCCTGGGCGCCAAACGTGGGACATCCTCAAGGGGTCTGGCGGGGGGGTTGGTTGGGGGGTTGGTTATGGGGTTGGTTACAGCTTGGCCTTGCTCAGCTTGCATCCGCGCCCCTTCCACCCGGGGGTCTTCTTCGTTTCCGCTCTCCCTTCGCTCCCTTTCCGCTTTCTCTTCCTTATCATCTCCACCCCTAGCCGTTTCGCGCTCAGGTGAGTGTTGTAACTGCAAACCTTCGGAACGGCGATTTGCTGTTACGAGCCTTTTTCGTTTTCGTGTGAGCTCTTGTCGGAGCAGTTCTTTCCATAGCAGTCACGTCGCCCCCATGGCGCCTTCGGTAGGCAGATCGGGCAGGATTGGGTATGCAAGACGTGTATCAATCCAAGAGATGGCAAGCAGTGGTTCAACACCACTGATGCGTTCACTTGCAAACTGTGCAAGCTTCACAAAGGCATTTGCTACGGGGTCCCAAAGAAGAGAGATACCGAGAGAGAGAGAGAGAGATAACGACACATGGAGAGAGAGAGAGAGAGAGAGAGAAATAGAGAAAACGAGAGAGAGAGAGAGAGAGAAAGAGAGAGGTAGCGAGAGAGAGAGAGTTGGACAATGAGAGAGCGAGTGGAAGAGAGAGAGAGGGAAGGAGTGATCCATAGAGAGAGGGAGAGAGAGAGAGAGAGCGAGAGAGAGAGAGAGATAGATAGAGACAGAGAGAGAGAGAGAGATAGAGAGAGGGAGAGAGAGAGAGAGAGAGAGATAGAGATAGAGAGAGTGCTATATATAGAGAGAGAGATAACGAGAGAGAGAGAGAGGCAGAGCCACAGAGAGAACGAGGGCCATCGATCCATACATATACATAGTGTGTGTATATCCATACATCTTTACATGTGGATACACATATATATATATAAATAGTTGTAGCTTCGAGAGGTGGTCATATAACGGGACACATCGAGATCTATAATAGAGAGAGAGATACAGAGAGGGAGAGAGAGAGCGAGAGAGAGCGAGAGAGAGAGATAGAGAAAGAAAAAGAGAGAGAGAGAGAGAGAGAAAGAGAGAGATAGAGAGATAGAGATGGGGAGAGAGAAAGACATGGCGAGCAAGAGGGAGGGAGAGACAGAGAGAGAGAGAGAGACCGAGCTAACGCCAGGTGGATATGCGGAGAGAAGCGAGGGGGATACGCATATCTAGTTATACATGGTATATATAGGTGTGTAAATATATCTATGTAGATATACATGTGCATACATTTTTCCCTTACCTCGGCTCTGCCTAGAGGGTTCTTGCTCTCTTTCTTAAAAGGGGCCGGGCAGTGTAACCCGCCCCGGGCGGTTCCGGCGGCATCCGCCCCGCGGTTCCCCCAGTTGCGCCCCCATGGGTTCACCCAGCTTAGCTTAGCTTAGCTTAGCTAAGCTTAGCTTATCTCATCTTAGCTGAGCTTAGCTTAGCTCTGCCTAGCCTAGCCACGCCTAGCTTAGCTTAGCTTAGCTTAGCTTAGCTTACTCATCTTAGCTTAGCTTAGCTTAGCTTAGCTTGGCCTGGCTTAGCTTTGCTTCGCTTAACTTAGCTTAACCTAGCCTAGCCTAGCTTAGCTTAGCTTAGCCTAGCTTATCATAGCTTAGCTTACCTTAGCTTAGCTTAGCGCAGCGCAGCATAGCACAGCGCAGCATTAACACAGCATAGCATACCATAGCATGGCCAAACATAGCATGGCATAGCATAGCATAGCTCAGCATAGCATATCATAGCATAGCATAGCGCATCATAGCATAGCATAGCATAGCATATCATATCACAGCATAGCATAGCATTGCTCAGAATAGCACAGCTCAGTATGGCCTAGCATAGCACAACACATCATACCATACCATAGCATACCATAGCACATCATACCATATCATAGCATATCATATAAACAGCGCAGCATAACATATCATAGCATAGCCTAGGATAGCATAGCATAGCGCAGCACAGCTCAGCATAGCTTAGCATAGCGCAGCATAACATATCGTAGCAACACATAGCATAGCGCAGCGTAGCATAGCATATCATAGCCTAGCACAACACAGCGCAGCCGAGCGTATCCTAGCATGACATCGCATAACATAGCGCAGCATAGCGCTGCATAGAGCAGCACATCGCAGCACAGCAACGCATATCATAGCATACCATAGCATAGCGCAGGATAGCATATCATAACGTAGCAGCAGCACCAGCACAGCACAGCAAAACACAGGCAACGCAAACCATAGCATAGCTTAGCATCGGTGTAGATGTAGATGTTGCTTGTGGGTCTAGCATAGCATAGCATAGCCTAGCCTAGCATACCATACACATAGCGCAGCAACGCATAGCATAGGTTAGCATCGGTGTAGATGTAGATGCTGTTTTCCTGCATGCTCCAACTCCTAGGTAGGGTCGCACTGGGATAAGTAAATATATATGTATATATATATATAAACGGAGAGAGAGAGAGAGCGATATAGAGAGCGTGCGATATACAGCGAGATAGAGAGAGCCACACGGGGGAACCCATGCACATATACCTATGTAGGGATATACAGAGGGAGAGAGGGAGACCGAGGCACCAATAACGATACCAGTTTTTGTGTAACCTATGTCCACGACAAGGGGACATATTTACACATCTATACATCCACAGGTATACATACATACATCTCCATACATGTACATCTATGCGCACATACACACTTATGACTATGCACATCGAACTAGACGGGGAAATCCGGTGTGGAGATGTAGAGGTGAGGCGTTAGAGATGGAAGGACCATGGTATGGTCGGGAGGGATGTGAACAAGAGGGGAGACATTGGAGGGGAAGGAAGAGCTGGATACTGATTCGGTGGTCGAGGAGGAGGAGGCGGAGGAGGATCAGTGGAATGTGCGAGTGGAGGGAGGAGGAGGAGAAGGAGGAGGAGGAGGAGCAGGAGGAGGAGGATGAGGAGGAGGAAGAGGATAATGCAGGATAATGCAGGAGGTGGAGGAGGCGGAGAAGGAGGAGGAGGCAGGAGGAGGAGGAGGAGGAGGAGGAGGAGGAGGAGGGGAGGAGGAGAGGCAGGAGCAGGAGCAGGAGGAGGAGGAGGAGGGAGGCAGAGGCAGGAGGAGGGAAGCAGGAGGAGGCATGGAGGCAGGAGGAGGAGGAGGAGGAGCAGGAAGAGGAGGAGGAGGAGGAGGAGGAGGAGGAGGAGGAGGAGGAGGAGGAGGAGGAGGAGGCATGATGCTCGCGTCTTGATTGAGGCGGATTAGGAGGGCGCGCCAGCCCCCCAGGAGCGGAGGGACCCCGCCCGGCCCATGCGGGTGTCCTTCTGCGTCGGCACGTTCAAGGCGTACGGCCCACGACGCTCTTTCTTTCTTAGAACGCCATTCAGTCTCAGGGGCAACGATAGGGAACGCATCACCTTGCAGAAGACGGGGGACAGGAGGAGGAGGAGGAGGAGGAGGAGGAAAAGGAGGTGGAGGAGGAGGAGGAGGAGGAGGAGGAGGAGGAGAGGAGGATGGAGAGGAGGGCGGAAGGAGTGAAGGAGGAGATGTGGAGGAGGAGCAGAGGCGGATGAGGACGATGAGGAGTAGGAGGAGGAGGATGAGGAGGAGGATGGAGCAGGGGGAATAGCAGGAAGGAGTATGAGGACGAGGCGGAGAGGAGGAAGAGGAAGGAAGAGAGGGTGTGAGGAGGAGGAGGAGGAGGGGAAAAGGAGGAGGAGGAGGAGGAGGAGCAGGAGCTGAGGAGGAGGAGAGGAGGCAGGAGGAGGAGGAGGAGGAGGAGGAGGAGGAGGAGGAGGCGGAGGAGGAGGAGTGGGGGCGGAGGAGGCGTTGGAGGAGGAGGGAGAGGGAGCAGAAGCTGGAGCAGGAGCAGTAGCTGAGGTGGAACTGATGAGGAGCTGAGGAAGAGCTGAGGAGGAGCTGAGGGAGGATGAGGAGGAGGAGGTGGAGGATGAGGAGGCGGAGGAGGAGGAGGAAGAGGAGGAGGGATGAGGACATGGTGGAGGAGGAGAAGGACGAAGAGGGAATGAGGATGAGAGGAAAGGAGGAGAGGAGGAGGCGGAGGAGGAGGAGGAGGAGGAAGGAGGAGGAGGAGGAGAGGAGGCAGAGGAGGAGGAGGAGGAGGAGCAGGAGGAAAAGAAGGAGGGAAGGAGGAGGAGGAGGAGGAGGAGGAGGAGGAGGAGGAGAGGAGGAGGAGGAGGAGGAGGAGGAGGAGGAGGAGGAGGAGGAGGAGGAGGATGAGCAGGAGCAGGAGGAGCAGGAGCAGGAGGAAAAGGAGCAGGAGGAAAAGGAGGAAAAGGAGGAGGAGGAGGAGTGGCAACGACAGGGGGGATCCGCTCAGGCTTCGGTGGGGACGCATCATTTTCCTAAGTTTTTCGGGCGTTGTCGTTGGCTGCCGGCACTTTTCCGGCCTCGGGGTGTTCTCCAGTAGTGTCGCCTCGCCGGCCCCCAATCTCCCATGGATCGCTGATAAGGGGCCACACAGCCCCACCCCGCCTGTGAACGTTCGGATTCGCGCTCGGGGCCCATCGTCGGTCTATCGGGCGATGTATCGCCGATCCCATTTCGAGGTTTTGTCCCTTGGGCTGCCCCCCCCCCACCCCTATGGTTGCCCTTTCGAGTAGGACAGCAAAGCCGAGGAGACGAAAACATGGACATCGGCGTGTGGACTAACGACGGGTCCCGTTCGGATCGTGCGCGATCGGCGCGCTCTCCGTCGCCAAGTGAGGTGACATTCGCTCCACGTTTCGGGGGGCACGATCTCCGATCCGTGGATCTGGCGCCCACGCGCCATATCCAATCCTGAATCAATGCTAGCATTAAGTCGGGCCTGTCCCTCTACAGGAGGAAGATAAACATAATAGTTCAAACATAGTCTGGTGATTACTTTTTGAGTATTTTTTTACAATGCTCGAATACGTTTTGAGTATTTATTATTTTCGTCCAAATTCCCCTGTAGGGGGACAGGCCCGACCTAATGCTAGCACGCACCCAAACGAATCGGGATACGGATGTACTTTCTTGGAACTGCGCTGGACCCCCCTGGCGTCGCCTCGGGCGCCGCGAATGAGCCGCCTTTGGCTCGTTCCACGCGCTAGGGAAGAGTCCGCGCCGATCTAAGAAGTCTGTTCGGACCTCTTGACTGCTTGTGTTTATGTTTTTTTTTGGTTCTTACTGAAGCAAACGAGTTCTGGGGTAAACAGGTCCTGGAGTTTGTTTTGCTGTTTCGGGCTCCTGGGGCCCTCCCCGGGCCCTGGGGCCGTCCCACACAAGGATGCAGGGGAAACTGTCCTGGGCGAGTGAGCGGACAAGCATCGGAGATCGAGTGGTTGGGACAACGTTGGCGCTTTGTGGGGCCTCAGCAGGCCTCCAGGGAATTCCGGAGGCATCATGAGAGCTTTTGAAGCCTCCAGAGAATGATGGGCGAGGACGAAGAACACGATGAATGGGGGGGGAGGATGAGGATTCTAATTATGAAAAATGATGATGATGATGATGATGATGATGATGATGATGATGATGATGATGATGATGATGATGCTGATGATGTTGATGATGACGATGATTCTGATGCTGCTGATGATGCTTCTGCTGCTCACCACGATCACGACGATGATGCTGATGCTGATGATGATGACGACAATGGTGATGATGATGACGATGATGCTGCTGCTGCTGATGATCATGATGATGGTCATGATGTTGTTGAACATGATGATAAGGCTGATGATGCTGATGATGATGGTCATGAGGATGACAGTGGAGACGACGACGACCATGATGACGATGTTCACGATGACGGAGATGATGATGATGATGCTGATGACGATGACGATGACGAATATGCGGCTGAGGATGGTGATTCTGATGATGACGATGATGATGATGATGATGATGATGATGCTGTCGATGGTGATGGCGATGATGACGATACTGATGGCCCTGATGATGATGATGACGATGATGATGGTGATGGTGATGACGATGGTAATGCTTATGATGATGACGATGCTGATGACAATGATACTGCCGCTAATGATGAAGATGATGATGATGCTGATGTTGATGGTGATGATGATGCTGATTGTGATGATGCTGATGATGACTGTGGTGATGATGTTGGTGATGATGCTATTGATAATGATGATGCTGATGATGATGACGACGACGATGATGATGATTATGATGATGATGATGATGATGATGATGATGATGATGATGATGATGATGCGGATTTTGACTGACGATGATGACGACGTCACCGACAATGATTTCGATGATGCTACTAGTGTCGAGTGCTGATGCTGCTGTTGTTTCTGCTGCTGATGACGATGCTGTTGATGGTGGACACGGCGATTGTGATTGTGATGATCGGGAATATCATCCTGATCCTTGAAGTTATGATGATGGTGTTTGTTACGGAGGTGGTGGCGGTGGTCAAGATGGTGATTGTGGTGGTGGAGCTAATGATGATGATGACGACGTTGCAGCTGCTACTTCTGCTGCTTCTGCTTCTGATGATGATGCTGATGGTGATAACGATTCTGATGACGATGCTGATTATGATGATGATGTTTATGATGATGCCGGTGATGATGATGCTGCTGATGATGATGATGTTGCTGCTGCTTTTGATTAGGATTAGGATGATGATGAGGATTTTGATCAAGGTGATGGTAATGATGATTGTGCTGATGCTGATGCTGATGCTGCTGATGATGGTGCTGCTGATGTTGATGATGGTAATGATGATGATGACGATGACGACGATGATGATGGTGTTGACGATGCTGATGATGATGATGATGATGATGATGATGATGATGATGCGGCTGTTGCTGCTGATGATGATGACCATGATGATCATTATGCTGCTGATGCTGCTGATGATGATGGTTATGATGATAGTGATGATTGTGATGATGCTGATGCTGATGCTGATGATGATGATGATGATGATGATGATGCTGATGATGCTGCTGATGATGCTGCTGCTGCTGCTGCTGCTGATGATGATGATGATGATGATGGTGATGCTGGCTTTGCTGCCACGCGATTTTGCCCAAGAGCCAGCAGGTGGCAGTTGCTGGTTCCCCCTTCGTTGTCCCCAACCCCTCAAGGGTAAATTTATGGGGGGACGGGCTCAGGGGGGGATGCATCGACGATAGTTGCACATTCATCGCCGATGGGGCCCGATTGCCCGAACGTTCTCGGCGAGGCGCACCTGACAGAGAGCACCTCTAAGATGGAAATCTGGGTAGAACTTGCGCACACGCCCCAAAACTTTTCGAAAAAGTGATGCGTTCCCCTACCGTTGCCCCTAACTCGACAGGTTGCCCCTACCGTTGCCCCTAACTCGACAGGTTTCTGGGCCCTAACTCGGGCCTCCGGCGGCCGCCCGGGACGGTTCGGGCACCTCCAGAACGATCGCGGCGGGGCGCCACTACTGGAGAACGCCCCGAGGCTGGCGAACCGCCGGCAACCCACGGCAATGCCCGATAACGTTTCGAAAGTGATGCGTTCCCGCTTAAGCCTGAGCGGATCCCCTCTATCGTTGACCCTTTCCTCCTCCTCCTCC